CCCCAAAACCCCAAAACCCCAAAACCCCAAAACCCCGTAGTAAGGCCAGACACTTGGAATAGAAATTTTGATGAAAAGTTCTGCAAAATCGTATTTTATGGGCTATTTTTTGATAATGGTGAGGTCTGCAGTCATTGCTTCTTTTATGTCAACGCCATGGTTTGAGATCGCTGGGAATGTCTCAAAAACTTCGTTTAGGACTTCTTCTGAGTGCTTATTGATAAATTCACGCACTTCTTTGTAGAGAAGGAGCTTATGTAAAAACTCTTTACATTGGTTGTCCTCTTCAGTGTATCTATCATCAATTGGGTGAACTTCGTTCAAATAGAGAGGACATCTCTTGGGATTAGTTTTCCAGTCTTCATTGTGCCCAAAGATCTTCTCTTTTCTGATTCCATCTTGGATCTCTTCTTTGTCGCAAGCATCTTCATCTAGACCACAGACGTAGCACCACATGGTAGTACATTTAGGACACTTAATATGGGTGCACTCGCCATCTTTCATCCCTCTAAATCCTCATTTGGGACATGATCTGGATGTTCCTTTTTCTAAGCATGCTTCCCATTCTTCTTTAATGCCCTTTTTGTTGAAGCAATTTAGATGACTGTAAATTCCATCTGGGCCTGAGACTAGTTCTGCATACTGTTCTTCACTCAAAGCTTCTACATCAGGATTCTATAAAATTCATTAAAACAGCCAGAAAATAGAATATTTGTAATTTTCTTATGTTCTCACCTTGTAAAACCTCAGGCATATGGTACAGCTGCCCTTTTTGCAACCCTCCTTCTGACAGGTGAAAAAGGGGCAGTCATTTTGACTCATATTCAGAATGTCTATGTAACCACAATTGCTAGGACAGGAATGGATTCGATACTTCTTAGAGTCAAGAGTCACAAATTTTGAGTAGAATTCGTATATGTGCTTCTGGTTGGCGTCGAGGTGCTTTTCGATGTGACTCTTCTCTATGAGGACCTTACAAATTGAGCATTTAAAGGGGATGCTTGCTTCAGGCGTGGAGAAAGCTGACTGTACGTAGGCTTCTGCTCATCCACTGCATGTAAAATGCTTGTTCTGGCATATGATGCTTAATTCTTCAGGTTCTTCTTCTCAAAAGCATATCTGGCATTCTTGTTCTTCCATTTATTCTTACTATAATTTTTCTATACATGATTCTTTTAATGGGGTTTTGGGGTTTTGGGGTTTTGGGGTTTTGGGGTTTTGGGG